ATATATACATATATATATATATATATATATATATATATATATATATATATATATATATATATATATATATATATATATATATATATATATATATATATATATATATATACACACACGAAAGTTACGCTTATAACCTTCTTCAGAGCATTAATATCAACCAGAGTGCAACTTCCAGAAGTAGAAAGAGCAGCTGACTAAAAAGATCCCTTTAAGAGCACATAATGAGTTGACTCTAAGTTAATCTATCAGGTTTTATAGATAGAAATTGGAGGGCTGATGATTTTTACCTTTCAATCTAAGTTACTTGTACAGTGACCTATCTGAGCCATACTGACAAGCATCTATCTATTAAATAAGCTCTAAATGTGGCCTACCATTAGAGGATGTCAAGTTCACCTCGACTAGACATGACCTTCATTGACACCGATCAAAGAATCATTTCTTACTGCCATGCCACTACAAAAGCCAATTGGATCGTTCTTATACGCTTCAAAGTATTAGACATGGCAAAATGTTCGTAAGTTCATCCGTTAGCATGCTCAGTTATTGCTGGTATCATATGAACTGGTTAACATTCATTGTCGTAAGATCCAAAAGCTTATATGAGAACTGTCCATGCACTTCAGAGCTTCATGCAAGCAGACATCACCTGTGGTGTTGCAATAGTCTCCATGTCGAAGCAGTAGCCATAGAAGGAGCTTGCAGCCGAAAGTTTCATCGAAAGAAACTGCATCAAGAAGAAGAACAAATAAGAATGATTGTCGATGATAAGGAATGCGAGAGCCAGACAGAATCTACCTCAACTTGGTTCTGCAGTGATTGTACATAGTTGATTATCTCGTCGAGCATCCTCGCCGTGCCCATGGCCTATAAATTACAATGGCATCTTCTCAGATTGACTTTACCAGAGCAATAGGTGCAATGTGTGCAACAGAACCACAGGAGCCAAGCTTGCTTGCTCTCTCGGGCTATTATTACCTTATGACAGCAAGGAACGAGGCCTTGTAAGCAATGCATTCTTTCGTTGATCCTCTTTCTTCTGACCTGAAGCCATTAGTGAATCATATATAGAGGTAAAGTTCATCACAGAGAAAATGTTGGCAAATTAACGTGTTTTATGCAATTACCCGCTCGGCCAGGCTGTGGCTGTCAGTGGCCTGCCCTCTTCTTGCCCTCACATGAATCACCTCTTTTGGCTTCTCCGCTTTCTTCGAATCGCCTCTCGCTCTCTTCTCGTTTCCCGAGATCTGATAGGTCAAGTTATGAAAACCTTTCGCACCTGGCTACGAAGAATATGAGATAACAACGAAAACCTTAGCGCTGCATACATTCTTGTTCCTCTTCATCTTGACCTCTGTCACGCGAGTCTCAGGAGGAGTCACCGGAGAGTGTTCGTTGCTGGAATCAGGCGCCTCGATGTCTTTCCTGTCCCTGTCTCCCTGACTCTGCCCTGCCCTACATGCCACGGCCTGCGGCTGCGCGATGGGTGTTTGGCATATTGCGGAAAGCGAACCAGACAAGTGATCCGGAAAAGGGACGCATAACTCAGCCTGGTGGAACAAGTAATTCCCATCGACTCCTGGGATCTCCATGACAGAGCCATTTAGCTCTTCAAGGAGGCTGTTCAGCTCCCAGCTCGGGTCCATTTCCATGAAGGAGTGGGAGGGCTTTAGGCAATTTAATCTCTCGACAGACTCTCCCTTTACTATACAAAAATGTAAAAGGAAACGTGAGAGAGGAGCGACGCAAGAGATTGGAAGTGGAGGGAAAGAAAGACTCTGCTCTGTCCACTAAACGAGACAGGTGCGTCAATGGGCTGCTTAATAGTCCTCGGTTCACTGGCGGAACCAGGTTCCGTGGGTCCCTCTCTTTTAGAGTATACCCTGACTTTTTTTGTCTGTGTATATACGACGTGCTGAAACATCATCAGCAGGCTTGCACTGTGGAGTGCTCACGATGATGATGACACTGTTCTTGCCAAGTAGAGAAGCATACCCGAGATTTCCAAACATCAAATCCTATGGTGACTTATGTGTATTCCATCGTCATGTGAGCTCTTTAATATGTTCTTATGAGATCATGATATTTTTCGATGTATGATCGTGATCTCGATCAAACTGACTATACTTAGATTTATCTTTTTTTATAAATAAAATCTTTATTAGATGAAAATATTTTAAGAGATTCTTATTCTTTATTTATAGGAAAATTTTAGTTATAATCATATTTAGAAGGGTCAACTCAGGTGTTGGGTGAAATAACTTAGGTTATTCATTTCTCCTTTGTCACGATGAACTCAGGGTCATGACTAATTGTAACCGCTTTTGTTTTGGCCTATTAAGTGACTCCTCACGTTTGCCAAATATTATTGTTTCAACAATAATATATTGATTAATCTTTTGAAATACCTTGGGTATAATCATCGATGGTCTCTCTATCAACAATCAAAATAGGTGCGAGAACATAAATCCCATAATGAAGATTTGTATTATGAGTAATGAATAGACATTTACTATACCTCGAATCTCATTTATGAACCAAGTGTCGAAGTATATGAGCATTTTCTCTACCCCTGCCTAAGTTTGAGAAGTGTTGTCGTAAGACTGAAGGCATACATTTCCAATGAAGTAAAGTTCAAACTCCCTTGCTAGCTGGGCAATAGAGTAGATAAAAAGCATTTTCAGGTGAGCATACTATTCACGTGTCGGACCTCTTAATATGGTCCGGAAGACGTAATATATTAAGGTATCTAAGGTGTCATATAATGACATTTGGGTATAGAATGTTATAATATGCTTGATCGGGTCAGCACTACTATCGAACATTTTCAAGAATGAGAAGACAAAAGTTTATTAGAATTGATTCCTTTAGATTTTTTAGGTAAATGATAATCGACCTAACATGGGGTCAACTAGTGCCCCCTTTCTAATTGTTAGAACTCTCATCAAATGTTCGATGTAATATATGTGTATGTACATGTCTTTCGATTTTGGCATACTTACATATAGAGGCTTTATAGTAGACTTGATAGCCCCATTTTGATTGACTTTTATGATCATTTCAAATTTGTAAATGTAGATTATATGTAGTTATTACGTAGAGGTAAAACTATCCAGAAATAAGCCATCCTTGCAATCATTTTGAAGGTTTTCTAATTTCACAGAGTGATATAGAGTATAAGCCAACACAACACACAAGAGCTACCCGGGTGATATATAGTTAGATGATTCTCTAGGATAGTGTCTAAGACTAGTTCATCCTATTTCATAGTAGTATTATGTGGGTATTTGTGAGGACTTTTGAGTATGAGAAACTATCTTGAACCTGTGGTCCTATGATCACTCAAAACTTACAAAATCTATATTTATAATTTATATTTCATATTAACTGTTTGGTAAAATAGTTACTGAACTATTTCCTCTGACCCGTTCAGACCGTCGTATAGTGATCCTGTAGTAGTACTGTGATGAAGAAAGACAGCTTCTAAGTATCGGACAAAGACTCCTGTAGTAGAACTCTGCCGACGACCCAAAGCACTTCGGGCGTCTCACTGGATCCAAGGACTCGATTTACCCAAATAGCTTCCATTGTGGCCCATATTTGATTCAATCTTTCTCACGATCAATGATGGCTGGTATTGCTACAATATCGTACTCGAACTCGCTACTGTGAGCTCGTTCCTACATGATAAGAAGCTGAGCAGGTGGTACTGTGGTCTTATATTCCGGCTCTGTTAAGCTTAGTTGATGACCTCACTGCGACCATAGAACACGGTTAGTACGAAGGCTAAGGATTCAACTCGCCAACGTCTCCCTTAAATTATTTGGCAAATTGCGATGTCTTGCAGTCTTAATTCATAGACGGTCAAAAGGCGAGCATCATAAAGAATAAAGTAGCTCAGATTACCGTCTAATCTCCAATTAAATATCATCGGCCTCCAAGCAATGTTCGAGATGTAGGGTCAATACACATGCAAGCTTCATGCTTTATTTAGTCGTGTTTAATGTGGCTTACAGACATCTAATTGGATTGTTGACGGTTGACTGCTTTAGCTTCAAAAGAAACACGCCAAAGAAGCTGTGCAGATTAATCTTCCTCTCGAGGGCTGTGAGGATCACTTAAAGAAATGCCAAAAAGTTCTACGTTGATCCACCTCTAACAGGCCTTTCTGATGATTATTTTAAGCCGAGGATAAAAAGATGGCTTCCGGTGCTATTGTTAATAATGATCCTACCTTAGGCACCGGCAAAGAGGATCTACTCTCTCTCTTGTTGGCGTTGCACGTTTAACGAGAACACTTGTGTTCTTGGAGCCGAAACTGGTGGTGCCCTCCACCACGTAATGTCGATGCTCTTTACAACATGGGATGTATTCGTATCGTCGTCACAGTCGTCATCCTCGTCCATCGCTCCTGTCATCATATAGGTTTTGACGAATTCCGAGCGTAGGTTAGGGCTACACGACGCACTAAGTGAGGAAAACTTAAAAGTAGCACCGCTGCATCGTTGTGCTTGGATTGACCGGACCAGTGCAGGCAGGGAATTTGAGTCGAAGAAGCAAACGAACCATATGGAAGGCATGCCAAAGTGACATATAACATGGTCTCTCTCCTTTTCTGTCATCCACTTGGGTTCACGGAGTCTGGCCTCAGCTGATAGTATCCGTGTCGTCCTCTCCCAGAATACACAGTGATCTAAGGCCAGTCGAATGGCTCCGCATTTCTTTAAGTATATCTTCCTATTTGGTAAACATTAGGATAGAGGATAGTGATGGGATAGACTCGTGAAAAATTATTCATTTAAAATGATGAACGTACTCATATAATTTTACCTTTTTAAAGCACATCAACTTCAAATATATATATATATATATATATATATATATATATATATATATATATATATATATATATATATATATATATATATATATGAGTCCTTAATTATTTTATTCCTCAATTAATATAGGACTAAATATTCTTATCAATATTTTCTCTCATAAGAGAGCCAAAAACTAATGACCCTCATTTTAACGTCAAATTGATCATAAAGTTCGCACGGTTTAGTTTGATCCCGAAGACATAAATCTGTCTTGGAAACCCACGTTGGAGCAGATGAGGTGGCCTAAGTAAGTGGTGGAGGAGGCACGTAGACTCTCGAGGGCGTTGTGGTCTTGTGGTGATTGACTCGAGGTCATCCTGAGGTGTGACTTATTTGCTAGAGGAAGTTTGAGGTCATCTCGAAATGCATGTTGGTCTTTCAAAAGCTTTTAATGTCACTCTGAGGTGTTTTTTAGACACGCTTGGGTCATAAGTGATCGATGGCATGAAACTAATGATGGGTTAGGGTGTCTTTTATCATGTCAAGGGATCATTGATGGTGATAATTGACAAATACAAGAATGACATCAGGGTAGAATGACTGTGATGATATACTTTGTCATGATTCTTGACCTTGGACACGCAAAAGATGGCCTCATGCATCGTTCATCCAGAAGGTAGGGACGAGGAAGTTGAGCCATGTCGTCTGGCGTATTTCAAAGAAGTGACTTTTTGTGTCGGGATGAATCGGTAGTACTATTATTTTTCGTAATACATCCAAATCATTCTGATAAATTGTTGACAGGAAATGGGTAATCCAAAAGGTGGTTCACATTTACACTTCTTTGAGGACCGCTGAAGTACATCATTAATTATAAACAAGTTAATCTTTTTGGAACGCCGAGGACGCTGATCACACCTCTGCGTCCTGTCTCTGAAATGAGAAAACTTTCTCCTCCATGTTACATGTTGGAAATGCGAAGCTTAACACGATGTGAGAGGAGATGCCATTACGAATCGATTCCAGCAGCCTTAAGGAGCCGAGTTAGGTAGGTGAGGTGAAACTCATTATATCTTCACCTGATAACGCCAAGCTCAAGCGTACATATCTGTCTGTCAGTATGATCAATTGCTCAGTCAAACACGTTTCTTGTAGAGCAGAATCCAGAAAGACCTTCAAAAGCCCCCCCAAAGGGGCTTGAATGCATGACTCCATTCCCGTGGAGTGCAGCTTTCTCATCTTTTCTCTCCACTTTAAACCTCAAAGTCTATGAATAGGAGTAGATCGTGTCCAAGTTTTCCTTCATCATTGCCACAAGTCTGGATTGCATTCAGGGTACTACTTTTTCTAATCCATCCCATGATTTCTAGGCTTCGTCTTTCCTAGCTAGCATGGCCTATATAACATGGAAACTTAGCCCTCTTCACCATTCAGCTTCTTCAAGGCTCCCTATAATATTGGCACCAGGAATGTCCGAAACAAGGGGATCACACAGCAAACATGAGGACATGGAGCTGCTAAACAGAGGGCCTTGGACGGTAGAGGAGGACAAGCTCCTCACCCACTACATTGCTTGTCACGGCGAAGGTCGTTGGAATCTCCTCGCTAGGTGCTCAGGTACTCCTGCATCCAATATATATACTTAGCTAGCTAATGACTCCAATAAAGGCTAGTCCTTCTTCCTCTTGTTTCTTCTGTTACCGATTTATCTGTTACTAATCCATAGGCTAAGAATCTTTTCGTTAATCCATAGGGTTGAGGAGAACCGGCAAGAGTTGTCGGCTGAGGTGGTTGAATTACTTGAAGCCCGATGTAAGGCGAGGCAACCTTACCCCTGAAGAACAGCTCCTGATTCTTGAACTCCACTCCAAGTGGGGAAACAGGTCATACTATATATACATGGTACCGCAGCAACTGATGATGTGCATATTTCATGTGGCAATCGAATATGTTGAGATAGCATGCTTCTTTTTACTTGATACTTGTATATTTTGATGAAATTATGGGCAAACACCAGTGGAATCTTTAGCTTCTGTTGATGCAAGTGCAACTAGTTTATCCATTTACCTGCATGTATAGTAGGGTTTTGATGCACACGACTGTCGGTATTTACATACATAGGTGGTCTAGAATCGCACAGCATCTGCCGGGGAGGACAGACAACGAGATAAAGAACTACTGGAGGACTCGAGTGCAGAAGCAGGCGAGGCAGCTCAAGGTCGATGCCAACAGCTCCAAGTTCCGAGATGCCGTGCGGTGCTACTGGATGCCGAGGTTGCTCCAGAAGTTTGGCTCTTCACAAACCATGCAATATTCTCTGGAGGCCAACACCAACACTACCACGAGTGACCAAGTTCAGCATCGTCCTTGCCAAGAGATCATCAATCCAAGCATGCAATATTGCCAATTGGGAAGTAGCAGCTCCCACGAGCCACAGGCTCCGGAGAATCACTCTGCTGTGTTTCCTCCGCTCCCGGTTAACATGTCCGAGTTCCCGTGGAGAGCATCCGACGAGATCCATGGCGTCGCATTCAATATTTTCTCTAGTGGCTTCTCCATGAACAACGCCTACGACCTAGGCACCTGCGACCTAACGCCGGTGTCGGCATCAGCGCCAATCTATTGGGATTTGGATTACGGTACGGATAACAATGATTGCAGCAACTACAATGGAGATAACTTGTGGAGCATGGATGAGTTATGTGACATGTTGAAAAGCTACGTGAGTGGAGCAGATATTAAGGTTCCTTTCAGTGATCATAATTCTTAGGGGGGCAATTATATAGCACTGTCAAGCGTCAGCACTATACTATAAGAAGTCTGTAACAGGGAGTTCACTGTTCTTGCACTTGAAAATGAAGGGGGGGAGAGAGAGAGAGAGAGAGCGGTGGTGCTTCTCTCCATGCGATTCCTTTGGATAAAGCTTATCAGCTACTTCTGAAATAGAAAGGTCTGGATGTAGCTCTCGACCAGGCGTCTCATGTTCGGTCACTTGACTTTGAATCAAGATAAGATGGTTTACTTGTCAATGATGACTCCTCGGCTAATTCTCTAGCCTTTCCTGCTCCCCATTTTCGTCCACTAATGCGTTGCAAGTTGCAGGCAAAGACAGTGAGTGTCCCACTTACATATAGTTCCACGATTTGTTACAGGGAGCAAACCGCAAAGCTTTCAACTGCAGCCATGGGGTAGCTCCAAAGGGAGTGAGTCCGTGCACCACCCGACGGATGATGACGCAACAACCAGAGATCAGTGAACGGTGGTGTGAGTGCGTGTGATGGTCGGAAGACAGGGATGGTTTGGTTTTGGCGTTTGTGAGGGCCGGGCCGCATCACATCAAACTGATGGATCACATCTGTTCACCTCACCCACGTATATTGCAGACAGCTGTCCTCAATTTGCGTGTCGGTTCCACCTCCGCTGATTCCTCTGTTTTACCCTTGCACCCATCGCCACGTGCTACACGACAAGCCAAGCTTGTCGGCTTCCTTGACGTTTAGTTAAGACAGCCGCCGCAAATGCAAGCCGTTGATGCAATGCAATTCCTCGCGTGCAATATATCTGCGGCAGGCTTAATTTTAGATTGTTGCACCTCAAATGAATAAATCCACATCACTCACGTCGTTGAGCATAATAGAGAATGTAATATCTCTTCTGATGCATTATTCATCAATATCTGCTGGTGCTTCCATGGTTAACCAAAAGACCAACTCTAGCGTGAAACTAGCTAAATCTATCAAATTCAAGATCTAAACTTTGTTCATCTTTCAATATAGCAACTCATCATTAAAAAGACTGAACGGAAAGAGTATTTATAGTTAGATGAACACGGCTAGGCCTGAAATCTGCACAAAGCTCCATATTTATGCTTTTATAGAAAATGCAAAAGTCTGCCTTGAAATTTACTTCAAGATGATCTAAAGAACCAAGTTAGAAACACATATAAACAAGAGTCGACCTTACTGGAGTCTGTTGCCTGGCACTAAACAACATTGCATGAATGACAGCCTTAAGAGTGACAAGCTTGTCGCACACTTGAATTAATGATGGCAAGCCATCCGAAAAGGAACCCTCACAGGGATCTTTCTCTTCCAAGCAAACTAGCCAACCCATCAAGATAACATGTAGCAGATTGTTGCAGCACTAACTACACAATCTTCAATAAACCGCAACATACTATGGAGGTACCTTCAAGTTTCTAAAATGGCATGCATCATTACTCCGCAATGTCATATTTGAGTTAATGCTGGCAAACTATCCAAAATAGAAACCTCACAGGGATCTTTCTCTCCAAGAAAGCTCGCCGAACCATCAAGAAATCAAACAGAAAATTACAGAAGCACTAACGACAGATTCTTGAATAAACCAGGTGAATAAGATCACCTGTGCACGCGCCAGTAAAAAGCAAGATACTATGGAGGTGCCTTCAAGTTTCTAAAGTGGCATGCATCATTAATCTGCGATATCATAATTCATAGCAGTGATGGTAGACTAAAATATTCAGGATGTGAAAGGAGAATACCTCTTGGATGATTGATTGATAATGATATGCAACTCATATCCGAGCATACAAGCCACTGATCAACCAAGCAATATCACCAAGTTAGTGAACCCAAGAGAAACCTCCATAAACCCATGAAAAATTCTATATTGGGTTCCATCCAATTATAGACCTGTTGTCCGAACAGCATGCTGATAAGAACTGGAACAGGTCAGAAGCAGCTACAAGGACTTAATACCATTTCAATTAATGAAAGATTTAAGTTAATAACTCAACAAACAGTCAGGGCAACAGATATTACTATCTTGCATAGAGAATCATGCCGCTAATTATAGCCGTATAAAACAATGATGAATTCGCCAATCTATAAAAGCATCATTTCTGTAATTCAAAATACAAGAAGCAAGAAACTCACGCTATACCGAAACCTATAGTATCCATTTACGGAATTGGTCAGGAGGGCATATGAATTAAGCGATATTAGGGATACACTAACAATGCCAAGGGATACCTAAAAATTTGCAATAACAATCAAGTTAAGAACAAATAACCATATAAATAACCTGTTGAAAGCGGCATACCAGCTCATACGACTTCCACTTCTAGACTATGAAATTTGAGGCAGTATATACAATAAAAAGAACAAACAAACAAATATGTGTACACATTACCATCCATATTCTCTTCATAGGATTTTTCATATTAGATTGATCAAAGCATGAAATAAGAGTGTTCGCACAAATTTATGATCAAAATCAAGCTCTCCAGATTGAACCGAGAATGTGGATACTATTAGAACATGCACATCTGATTCAAAAGTTTAAACTGGTTTGAATGGTTCAACTCATAAAGCCTTCCACTGTACTAGTGTAAACAGAAGTTAAGTGTTTAATACTATTGCAACTCTCAAAGTCGAACTTGAGTGTGACTCTTTGCTTGGGTCACAAAAATTAGCTCTACAAATGAGCACATTTATATCAGTAATTGAGGCAACCCAAGATCAAATTGACTGGAAGACATTGAGACCTGCCCTTTTAGTTATAGGGAATGCCGTAACAACTTGATTAACAGATCATATTGAATAAGGTGCAAACATAATTAGCATAACACAGTAAATTAAATTGTATGCCTCGTTCCGATTTGTTCTGCAGCACACAGATTTATCAGAATATCTAGCTTCAAACACGATGCTAAGATAACAAGAGAAACCTAGGTATGGAGGATCAAATCATCAGTATGCTAAGGTAACAAAAGATTATCAAATCATCGTAAATGAAGGCAGCACCAAAAAACAGAATCCACACCACTCAAAAGCCGACTCTCAACTTCCATGGTGATGTCAGAAATTTGCTATATAAGAACGGAATGGAGTAATGCAGCAATTAGGAACCTACCTGAAGCAGAATAGCCGTAAAGAAGATACATAGAGTTTCAAAATTTGGGTAACATGAGAGGAGCTCTGGAATGATGCAATATGCACAAGCTTGGGGTTTGCAGTATTCCAGCTGCTTATAAGCAGCCCGTTGATCACATCACTAAACTCATACTTTTTATTTTCATTTCAAGGCGACACGATAGTTAACCAAAGATGTATGTGTAGCGGTTTGCATATCATGAATGTCTATGAGGAAGAAATGTCATACCTTGAAGCAAACTAGCTAGTCTATTCACTCTTCACAGCCACTTAACCTTTCCTTGTAGCTCTTGAGAAACACCGACCGAATGCTTTATCAAATTATCTTAAGCATAATTATTCAGAATTTTCTTAACATAAACCTTCCAGGGTAAGAAGATCAAAACTTGAGTTCATTTTGACACAAAACACACAATTAATGAGAAAAGAAAAAGGTAGATAAGGTTTATAAATCTCAATTATTACATCATGCCTTTAATTGAAAACTCTTCTAAATCTAAATGGAAGATCCAACAATCTAATCAAGATTTAACAACCATCTAAACAAGCCTCTTGTTCACACAAGAGAAAATACTAGAAACCAAATTAACCATGCCACAGGAACACAGGAAATACTATATTTCGAAATCATAAACGCTACTCCGAGTAACGTAGCCCTTTGTCGTCGAACTCACTATCTTCTGCAACCACGAAAGCAAAAACGAAAATACAATTTAATCGGTTGAGATTCAAAAGGCATTTCAAAAATTGTGGAGAAATAAAACAAATGGATACTACCTTATTAACTTTGTAGCGTTCTGGAGCCACCACCAACATCCATGACGAAGGAAATATATCCTGCAGAAATATTTCACCGAAAGAAAAGGTATAAGGAAAGCTCAAATTGATTAGAGACCAGAAAAGGGCTCGATCACTAGCCAATTGCAGGAAAAATCAAACCAAAAGCATTAAACAAAATCCTTTTTTCTCGGGTGAATCATGTCACCTCGATCTGTCGCTGGACGTTTCTAGGCCTCTTCTTCGGCCTCCGAGGGGGCTTCATCCCCTTTATCTTCCAAAAGTCTTCTGCGATTTCCTCTCGCGACAACGAGATCGTGAATCTGCCACCCTTACCCTTCTCGGATGCATCCGATCCCGCCCCCACCATCTCCTTCCCGGGGCAGCTCTTCTCCGCTGCAAAAGGCGAAGGAGACACGGAAGCCAAGGAAGGGAACCGATACGGCCCGTTCTCAGCCGGTGCATTATCCGCCGGCCTCCGGGTCCTCAGATTCCATGGCCTGACGGCCTCCGCCGGCGCAGAAGAGGAAAACGGCCTATCGACCCCTCCTTCCCTGTCTTTCAAGTTCTTGATCCTCGTCGATCGCTTACGCTGCGGGAAGGACTCCTCCTGAGGGGAGGGCGGCCGCTCACTGGCCGCCCGGCCGTGTCGATCGCCCGCGGGAGCCATCGTTCCGACACCATCGGGTCCGCCGGCCAAGGGGAGGTTGGAGGATCGGATGGTGCGGAAACTGGTGCAGTTGCCGACGGGGAATGGTGAAGCGAGCAGTCCGGACCCGGAGAGGCGCGACCGCCGTGGAAGCGGAGCAAATGGGAGTGGGGGGATCGCGCGCTGCTCCGCCCCCGGCGATCCGGCGGGTCCGTCCTCCTCATCCTGGGAGGCGTTCGCCATCGCACGGGGCGCTGCAGAAGGGGTGCAGATCGTGCAACTCGGAAAGAGGGGGAAAGGGGCGGCGGTTCTAATAATGTTGGCGGGCAGTTCTTTCTCCCGTCGCCGCGTTCATATAGAAAGCACGGGGGAACTAAATTTATGGAATACTTCGAACTCATCGCACTCTAATCGCCTCCTTACGACTGGCGAGCTGAGCTGAGCTGAGCTCATCTTCGGTTACGTCTTCCGTTGAGATCAACGAAGCATCTGATTGATCCTGATGAAGGAAAATTATTTCCTAGCACTATTATCTTATATTTAAACTATTTATAATCATATAACATCTCGTTTACCCTTTATAATTTGTTTGCATTTGCATTTTTTGGCATGCTATAATTTACATGTATAATTTTTGATATTTTATTATTATTTATATCATAGGTTTTAGCTATTATTACATTTATTTTATAACATATTTTTTTCTTTATTTTATTGTGAAATGGAAAACTAACAGATAGGAAAGTCATCAATGAAAAAATTAAAGTTTGAAGATGGTAATTATATTATGAATTTAAAAGAAAAATATATTTTTTTTCTTGCCATGTTGTTCTCGTTCTCAATTGTTAAAGATGGAATTGTGTTATCCAAGCTGTGCAAAATGGTGGGGATGCTTATTGCAAGCTGTTGACTAAGGTCAACGTTGTGAGTTTGGTCAACGATTAATATATAAATGATGTTTCCTACTTTGTGAAATCAATAATTTGTTTAAGACTTTGCTTAATGACTTGATGCAATTACTAATGCTCTAAGCAGCTACCACACAAACTAAATTTACATGACAGGTCATGAATGAATGAGATAAATAAACATCAACAAATAACTTTGGTTGAACAGATAATATTTTTAAAAATATATATATTATGTTGTAAGGGAAGAATATAATATACAATCGATCTCGGTGTTATACATAGTTAATTTCTCTTGAAAATGATCAAACTTAAACCCTAAAATAATATTAGCCTGATTTCTAATTTTTTGACCATTTTTTTTATATAATTATAGGCTTATTCTACCACTATAATTATTTTATATATATAATATCACAATTGTAGAAGGATAATCTCTAGTTTTATAAGACCTTTTATCTTATTTCCTTTCACATGTCTCTCCATAAAAAGTTCAATTCCTCCACAAACAAGAAAAAGGAGGAAGGATGGACCTTTACATCGCTTTCTTTGTTGGACCTCCTTCTTAGTCGCTTTCTAGGAATCGATATTTATTTGTTGTTGTCATTCTTTGAAAAGACCTCTCAACATATGTATAAAAGAAAATAAAAAAAATTAGAATGAACAAAAGAAGATACACCCTTCTCACAACTAAATAGATATATGATATCGGAGAATTAAAGATAATATACTAACTCTAATTATTCCTTTATTGTTATATGCTCATCTAACTAGTACTCCTACATTAAAGATAGTTATTAGGATTATCAATTAACCCCTAACATCCTTTCTCTTATTTTTAAAATTAAAAAGTAATTAAAAAGTTAAATCTTCTCTACATCATCCCTCTTAAATCGAAAAATAACATGTTCAATTTGCATGATAATATACAAATATTTTTTTGATATTTTTATTTACACAAAAAAATCTTTCTTTTTGAAGTTTTTAACATTATCAACAACAACATGAATGTCAGCAACGAAATCATCTCGCAAAGAATCTAAAACATATTTTTCTTATTACCTTATATCCATCGCCATCACTATCGACATCATTAGTTACATGTAATATATTTATTATATAATAACATAATAATTTTTCATAAAGAATAAATACGAAAATAAAATTTGATTACATCATGATGGCCATTTAAAATTTTGTTAGATGAAATATATTATAATTGAAGAAAATTATCACGATCAAACAATTCATTTGGTGTAAATGTTTAGATATTAAGGGAAAACCACAAGAAAAAGACCACATGATAAAAAAAGAGAAGAAAAATATATGCGCGTGGAATTTAAGAGCCTATCGAGTGAGCAACGCAAGAATTCGTGAACCACAAGGGAAATATACGGATTAAGGTTCCCATATCCCAACACCGACGCAGCGCATACAAGCGATCCGTGGTGGGGCCAACGCCCTCCTCACACGTGCTTGGCAGCTGGTGCGTGACTCCGCTACGCCAACACCCACCCGCACACGCGCATCCTTACGCTACGTCGGTCCCGTGCATCTCCACCACACCCTACTCTCTCACTGTATGCACCGACCCACGTGACCCAATACGCGACGGCGAAGCCATTGCCCAACTCATTCGCCCGCCTCTCCCGACCCCACACCACGACGCTTTCGTGTGGTCGCCTCACACTCGACGCACCCTCTTCCTTCCGTGGCGCGCTAATAATACAGTAATTATAAGAATCCTATTAATCCATTTTCGTAATTTACTCGTAGTATATGTGTCTCGAGAGAAGCCTTCTGACTCCCCCTCGCCCCGGCTCGCCTCCCCTCCCCTCCCCCCACCCCCCTTTCTCTCCTCGCCCTCACGCCAACCCAACCCAACCACGTTAGAAAACCCTCCCCCCTTCTGCTTCCCCTCACCGCCGGTTTTGGCATCGGCGGCTGCCGCTTCGTCTTCGTGCCGACCTCCTGCAGCGTCGGGTTGGGTCAGCGGGCCATGGTCATCTCGGCAGAGACGGCACCCCGGCTGCCGGAACCTTCCGTGGAGTCGGCTTCGGCGGTGGAAACGGGAGCTACGCCCTCTCCTGGGGTGACGCAGGGGTCCCTCCTCCATAACTTCTCCTTCCCGATCTTGAAGACGTGGGGCCGCCACCGGGTGCTTCGCTGCATGAGCGTGAACGGCAAGGGGGAGGCCGTCGCCGGCGGCCGACGAAGATCGGCGCCCTGTCCGAAGCCGGCGTGGCCGCGGATCCGTGCATCCGCGGAGAGTGGTGATGGCGACGACCCTGGAATCGAGGAGGTCAGGGAGAAGCTGCTGGTTCACCTCCGGGAGGCGGCGGACCGGATGAAGCTGGTGGTCCCGCTGCTGCCCAAGAGCGGGAACCTCAAGGCGGCGCCGGAGCCGACGCCAGAGCCGGAGGTAAGGGTGGATCCTGAGGCTGACACGTCGTCGGCGCCGGCGGCGGTGCCGTGGAACCTGAGGAAGAGGCGCGGGGTCGCGAGGGCTACGATGGAGATCGAGCGGCACCTGGGCAGCTCGCCCCCGGGAGCGGCAGAGAAGAGGACGGTGCGGCTTAGGTCGGAGGACTCCGAGCGGAGGGAGCGGCCCAAGTTTTCGATCTCGCTCACGAGGGAGGAGATCGACGAGGACATCTACGCGGTGACAGGGTGCAGGGCTCGACGGCGGCCAAGAAAGCGGGCGAGGGTCGTCCAAAAGCGACTCGACGTGAGTTTCTTCCCCGACCTCTCCTTTCCTTACGCCTTCTTTCCTTGTATTTCTTGACGATTTTTGGTGACTTTCTAAATCAAAAACCCATTTTTGCATCGTTTTCTAGTTCAAAGTCTCCTTTTTTGGGAAGAAGGTGGGATTTTTCATGTTGGTTATCCTCTTCTCTCAGGCATTGTTCCCCGGCTCGTGGCTCTCGGAGATCGCCGCCGACGCGTACAGGGTTCCGGATTAGAGGTAAGCGCACCGGCGGTGACATGATATCTCTTTCTCTCTCTCTCTCCCCCCACAAACCGCCCCCTCCCCCAACTCTCGGTTCCTCGCTTCAAAATTCGCTGCCGCCATTGATCTCTGAAAGCTTCTGATCGGATCCTCGAGCAGAAGAGTAAGAAAAATCTAGTCTTTCCTTCAATCGTAGCTGCGTCATAAGGAACCTCATTCTGTGAAATTTGATTGCCGTGTGGTTGGTCTGTTTAGAGAGTCCAAATCAGTGCCTGTTCAATGAGTTTATTGGTTCTTGCTCTGTTTCTAGTCTAATGTTATGGACATGGAAAACGCTCTTTATCAACCTATATTGGTTATTCGTATAAAGACGACTTCTTCGTTGCAAAGTTGGGAGTTTTTGATACTTCTGCTGCTCTGCAGTCCGTAGTCCCACAGTTGCTGAATTCGCTCGCTCGCCTTCTCAATCTCGAAGTCGGGAGCTTTTATTGTTCTCCTTTGTGGATTAATCTTGGAAGTATCCTTTGCTTGTAAACAATTACTTACCAGCTGGAATTTTTGGCTGAGAGTGGGCGGCGGCGGGGGATGCCGAGAGGTGTAAGGTGCATGCGATGCTGGGGCAGCCATGGCCGTCGGATTAGGGGTAGCCGATACCGTGATACGGACACTACGGTTGGGGTCGGTCAACGTGGCTCCTCCTCCCTCTACCCACAGCCTCACGCTTTTGTAGGGATTGGAAGTCGTCTTCGTCGTCGTCGTCCCCTGTGACCTCACCTGGACCTCCATCGGTGACGTTGAGCCGGTGCCGTTTGATACGACAACTAGAAGCAGTCCGAAAAGATGCCTTGTATCTCTCGAGTCGCAGCGTCAGGATGGTGAGACATGGCTGAGAGCTACACGCCATGCTTGTTTCTTGATGTCCATCGATTGGGCCGTGAGACAGATGACGGAAGGGTGGCGTATGAATCATTGCAGTGTGTCCTCCGAAGGAGCGAAGAAACAACTGCCTTCTCTGCAACCTTCCTTCCATTAGATTAGCTGATTAGATTGCAGTCTTGTGCTAAGGTTAATCTGCAGTCGGACTTCACATCACCAAAGATTATTATTACCTTATCTGGGGATGAGACACAAGGAGAGAAGTGCCAACACCTTATGCCTTAGCTGTCCAAACAGAGAGCTTTCGATACTTTCGCCATACGCAAATTTATTGCATTCGAAGATAGAACACACAGTCCAAGAAATTGATTTATCGTGTGAATCATTGTGTCAAATATCTAACATCAGACCAACCTGCTTCCTGGTCCGGGGCAAGTCGCCGTCATCTTCTTCGTCGACAGAGAAAAGAAAGCTTCTTCTCAGTCATGGCTGTCGGCAACAATGGCGCAACCAGACAATGTAATACATCCCCACAAACCTCGAACCCAACATGGCAGCTCTCCATCTGACACTTGCAAGCTGAACTGGTGTGTGTATCAACGCTGCTCTAATAAACCTTTTTTGAGGAAGCTATCAGATAGTTTGTATATATATATATATGATAAAACCCAAGTACTGTCTACGAATCGTCCAAAAGTTGCATTATTTGCTCAAATTATTGAAAGAAAAGCTGTGGAAAGGGATGATAAGCATGGTCAGAAGTAAGATGGAAGAAACTAGTGGGGGGCATAAAGAAGCTGAATCAGGAGGTGTTAGGTGAAGAAGGTTGGGAGATGGGGAAGGCAAGTGGCCTGTCAGCAGCATGGATTCGAATCACTCGTGCTGATGCAACTGCAGAAAGTGCTGCATCTGTCCCTTGCAAAATGGCATCGAAGACGTACTGACAATAGTTCTGATAGTATGAGAAAATGCATGCCAGCATGATGAACGAAATTTGAAACATCATCATGAACAAACTTCGAGTGATGACCAAACAGTAGATATCATAGGAGATGGATGCATAGAAACTAAATAAGGCTCTTCTCTTTGATTTATGGCCAAACAGTAGATATCATAGTAGATGGATGCATAGAAACTAGATATAATACAGCAACATCATACAAGGTCACAGGAGAATCCCAACCGATAGGCCAAATCCGTGGGTCCACTACATCAACGACCAATCACGCGTCTCCTCATTTGGCACGTAATCATCGAGTGGCGATGGCAGCCCAAGGAAAGCAGATTTTTAAGCAAATACAAAGAGAGACTAACCTTGACGCTAAACGTACCCAAGTAACACACTGTAGCTCTTGGAAGTAAAGAGACTGTAAGACATGTAAGAAGAGCAGGAACTTTGGAAGGATCAGCGAAAACATCAATACATGTCCATGTAAACATTCTCTCTTATATGATGAATCAGGGGAAAATGCAACTCTCCATGTAAACATCAATACATCCCAGGCTAGGAAGACACAAAATTCCCAGAGACAAAGCAAAGAGCTCCAACAAACCAGCCTTCCACAAATCTTCCTTTTGAAATTTGTACATAAGATCACATCTTGCTTCCCAGTGTCATAATTACAGCCAACAAAAACAGAACAAACAAAACGAAACCTGCACTCCACTGTAACCAATTAACCCATCAAACTTCTATCATTTTCTTCCTCATTAAGCATCCATTGATTAGTGTCCCTTTCAGCATTGGCAGAAATCTATCACCAGTTCATCGACCAAATTCTGAAGTATGTTGCTCTCCATCTCCGTGCTTGCTTCAAATGCTTCGATCTTGCAATATGTCCACTTTCCAGATGAAGTTTCCGTTTCATTCTTGACCAAATCATCCAGATATTTCCCAGCCAAATCTATCCACCCTCTTATCTCCTTGGCAACTTCTCTCATCAGCTGCTCTTGGGTTGTGAGGAAAGGTAAGCTACGACATGCCGTATAATCAGAGTTGCACAAATAGTAATACTTGGAGTTCAGGCACTCGATCATGCAATCAAATATTAGCTCTCTGAGCTGATCTGTCCCTTTCATCCCTGTGTAACTGGGTTCACCTATCAGCTTTACACAAAGAGCATCTAAAATTGCTTGTAGCATGTCTAAAAGAAATGATTCTAGAGTGCCTACAGAATTATCTGGCCTATACAAGGCGAAGTTTTCAAACAGCAGTACTGCATTTAAAATTGCGTGCCTGGCTTCACCAAGTTTAGTTTTTGAGAATCCAATGTCATCACATTGAATGTCAGGGTCACTTAAACTTATGTAAGTCAAATGCCGGATCTTATGTATGATAGACTTCCTGATGTCAACTGAAGTTGCTGAATCCAAAAGTTCAGTGTCCAGATCAGATGATTGTGTTGCGTTGCAACTTTCTGCCAGCCCGAATTGTAATTTTCCACCTGAAACCGCAAGCAATGTTACTGAAATATGATCTTAACTTACAATCTCAGAAACCTAGAAGTGCCATATTTCATGCAACTATACATGGGATTCCAACATCATTATTATTGTCAACAAAATAAAGTTGGTAATGCAATTCAATGGATTTGTGTGCATGGGATTCATAGAATAATTCTTATAACAATTCTCAGTTCACTACTCACAAAAGCCACTGGGCACTCACCACGACATCTCTTTTTGTTTAGATAGAAGAAATCAAAATAAAACATAAATCTCAACTGGCCAAAATAGGTGAAATAAATTAAATCCTTTACCTTGAAAATTTTCAGTGTCTAACTTTCATAAGCTTTTTACCTTCCACCAAAATATTCCGTCGCTAGAAACCAACAACACAGAAGTCCCTTGTGTGTACATGAGATTGCAGTGAGTTATCAAGGGGTACTAAGTCCCTTGTGTACATGAGATTGCAGCGAGTTATGGTGTACTGTCTTGTAGGTGTCAAGTTCTCACTTCTGTGGGAAAAGACAACCTGTGTGTGTTCCACCAATTAACGAGTGCATTAGTATCTCATTTGTTTGAGATTGTGTTCAAATCCTTCGTAACTGTTATTATTGCTCAAGGATTTCCTTTTGTTTGCTTAACAATAATTGTGATGGCCTGCGCTCGATTTTGAGTTCATGTGCATACAGTGAAATACATGGTTAGATAACCACATGCACACAAGTACCAAAAGTAGAAGATTTTCATCCTGCAAATTTGATTATTGCTAGCATAAACAGAAAGGCGTTGTTTATAAGCAGGCTGTTGGCCATTTGAAAGCATATCCATCGAATGCTAAAGACAACATAAAAAGTGATGACATCAATTCCAGGAGCTTGTAGGAAAGGAGGCTCCTTGCTTTCTCCCACCATATATAAAATGACCTCCGTAAAACTAAAAGGAGAGCTAAGGTGTACAAAGGTAATTTTTTTGTACCTGAGCTAGCATCGAGACTTCCAAAAGAGCAACTTTCGTTTGAAAATGAAGCCTCAAGAATAGATACTGGGCTGAATTGATTACTCTCGGTGGAATGAACTGTAGCAGCAGGACCAAATTTTGCCTCCTGAGGCAAAAAGGAAGTCATGTATGTCAGAAGAATCCAATTTATCAATCTTCTTACTAACACCAATATTTATCAATATTTTTATCTTAGTTAATGACCATCTATAACTTTCTTTTCCTCCTTAAATTTGTAGACATTTAGAACATGAAATGAAAAATTCTTCAAGTTCTTCGATCCAACCATATACATGTTATGACGAACACATATATTTAAATTAAACATATTGGGTCAATGTAATAAGAACAGCGTCAGAAAGGATGAAAAGGTGATAAATCTAGGTGCAATATTCACATAGTGATACCAATCCAGATGCTGTAATCAAGGAGCCTTCATGCTGCAACAATATATCAGATGCATGATATTGTTGTAACATGTATCTCAAGCTCAAACATCAGAAACTTTTACATATTTATAATAAGCCTCCAATTGAATATAAGAGGCACAACCCAGAATTCCATGTTCAGAAGAAAACTTTCCCATGTCATATTATGGCTTCTCATTTGCACCACACTTATATTGCAATAAATAGTTGATCAATAGGCGTTAGCCGGGCAGTGTTATGCAAATCTTGTAGGCCGTGTCCATGTGCAGCAGCAAGTGCCCAAATCACATGCAAGGTTAAAAATGATCTCACCCTCAAACAGACAGCAATTCTAAAGTGATATATACACCAGAGGAACAGCTTGTTCTAGTCAATGTGTAACACAGTCAACAATTATTTTGTGCAAACATGTACTGATATTTTACACGAGAAATGGGAAACAGAAAAACTTAAATGACACACCTGTGATTGTTGGATAGGAAAGACAGAGAGGTCTACACTGCAAGACATGATACCCTTCTGGGAAGACCCATTAGTATATTTATGATAATTTGGCTCGGATATAATGGCAGTTCCCAGCTCTTCAAAAATGGAAGAAGCAGACCATGCATCCCTAGCTTCTAATTTTTCTCGATCCATGGAAGTTAATTCCCTGATTTTTTGTTCGAGCAGGTTGCTTAGTTCGTCTCCCCTTAAAGTTTCTCTTCTATTAGAAGTCAAATTGCTACCTTTTGCTAACGACATCAAGTTTTTATTGGAACCAATATCATTAATAAGTTCTTTCTTTGTCCTGCTTCTCTCTGTTGCCCCTTCGGATACGGATGTCATAGATGCATGCCTAATTTGTGAACTGAATGTGAAAGAAACAATGTCATTTCTCCTGAAAATAAGATCACCATGATCATTCTTTGAGTCATTTTCGATGCATTTCTTGTAAACAGACCCGTTATTGTTATGTCTTATTCCCTTCTGGTTACTCATGTCACTTTTAACGCTTTGCTTAGCACGGCTTGAATGGAAAGCATCGACATTCTTGACACCGAAGCTACTAATTGTTCTTTTACGGGGCATGTTCTTCCCCAAAGATATACTACCCAATGCCCTTCTATGGCTACTTTCCTCATAGGCTGTCTTCAAACGGCTGCAGTTCCCTACATTTCTGTCAATAAAGACAGAACCTTTCGTGCCATTCAAGCCATAAGCATCTCTTCCCCCCTGCTTTCTTGAAGATATGCTGGAACCAAAAGCTGCTTTATTTTTTACCCGTGTTGATGGATTCTGTGTAAACTGATTCCGTGGAAATACAGTTGGTGACCCATCCGGCTTGGTCTTGCTTGTATTTTGGTTATACCTCTCTGCTAAGCCCTTCACTTTGCTTTGCACACTAATCTTAGCTTGAACAGGGACAGATGTCTTTTGGTTCCTGCTGTGTTCACCTTGCATGTCAAATGGTATCAAACTACCTTCCACAAAACCAGCATGAGAGCAGGAAGCATTACTCATTTTGAATGAAGATGAACCAATCTTTGGTCTCGAAGATTCTTCCTCGCCTAGTTCTGATCTCGAGGTTCCACCTAAACTGCCATAACTCATGCTAGACTCGGGAAGAGGATCACATAACGGTTCCTTCGACTCCTTCAAGATGGCAACAAAATCAGCGCCTTTTGCATCACCTGGCAAATAATCCATGTAAGTCAAAGCAGATTTGGCCCGACTTCTAGACTGCAACCCAGGCTCCAGAATCTTGGTGGCAGCCTTCATCAACCGGGTGCGATGATCCACCGACGGCAATCTCGGGCTTTTCACAGGTGACACCAGCTTGCGAAGCTTCTCCTTTGAGGGGGACGAAAGGACCTTCTTGCCCGACGCACCTGGTTTTGTTCGGCCATGGTCAGTCCGCTTCCTTTCCAAGAAAGCTCCCGTCTTTTGTAACTTGTGCGGTCTAGTTTCCAGCTTCCCGATGCCACCATCTTCCAGGCATAAATCTTGATCGATCTGGAGAGACTCCCGACCGCTTCTCTGCTCATTGCTAAGGCGGCTAGAATCAGTAGCCTTTCTCGGCCTTTCATGCGCAACAACAGGCATGGACTGGAGACCCATCAGCCTTGCCACCAGCCCCGGAGCTCGCATCCCATTTCCAAGATCAACGTCGGTCTCGGGATTCTTTTCGCCCGGAAAACCTCCCTGGTTGTCATCGTCGATCTACCATTTGATCAAGATTTCAGAAGAGGGCTAGCAAAATCAAGCTACCAGAGTAGGAAGTCAAAAATCATCGTTACCAGAAGCAGCTTCGCCAATGGCATCTTGTCGTCGGCGCCGTACTTGTTCGCCGACCCTTTCGCGGCTCGAACTACAAGGTACAGGAACGAACCAATGAACCAAGGATCCATACATCAACAGAGAACGAGCTGCTAGAAATACCTGAAGGGAGGGGTTTCCTGGAGAAAAGCTTCTTCTTGGCGAGCCGGCGGTTCCAATCCAAGAGCTGGAAGAAGATGGCGACGAACCCACCCGGCCGCCTCTGCTGCTGCGGCTTCTTCTCCGCGATGGCCAAACTCATCTCTGGAGTCCACCTAAACCTCAGAAAACCCCTCGGAGAGAGAAGGGAAGCGAGCAGGGGTTCATCACTCACTCAACAGTCAAGAAAGAGAGAGGCGACGAATCAAAGAGGCTTTTCTCGTCTTCTTTTTGGCCAGTGTAGCTGTCAAGCAACTCCCGCTCCGCATACACACGCATATCAAAGCGAGCAATGGAACATTGAGCGAAGGGGAAAGGCGAAAGGAGGACTACTGAGCAGTAGAGGGAGCAACGCAGTGGCGCAGGCGAAGATGAGTAAACAAACAGTAAAAGGTCATGGAAACCAGGGAAGCATGGAAAGGAGAGTGCGGTGTCGGAGGGGATTCCCTCTCGCTTGCGACGAAAGCCATCTCTCTCTCTCTCTCTCTCTCTCGCGATTCCAAGCTTCCCTTTTGTTGTGAGTGCAAGAAGGAAGAACGCAGCGGATGCAGAGGGTGGCAGAGCAGAGGAGGCCCGATGGTTATTTTAGTGCCTTCTTCTCGGGCTAAAGAAGGGACCTGAATATTACGAGTGCTAGGCCTCGAGACCCACCAGGTGCTCGACATTGGTCTCTATGGCGGTAGGTTCTGTTGCAGAAAACTCTCTTTTCCTTCTTTTTCCTTTTTTTTTGTCTTATTCGGAGGAAGCAGCCATTTTCTTTTGAACAAAAGGCCATCCAGTTACGGCGCGTGTTACGATTGTTGCCACGACGCACATCCATGCGTGAACGGGAAGGTGACGGTGAACGCTTCAAGGCACGACTTGAGCCGCGAGATCCGTGATGTGGACTAGTGGGGGACGCTGTGTCACTATCGATCGGGGACGCGTCGCCCGTGTCACGAGATCGGAGTACTGTAAGGCTTTAATGGTGGGATCGTATCGGATGCGTGCTTGCTTCGCTCGCATCCGCACGTGAGACCACCGTGGCACCAACGTATCGCGTAGACACCCAAATAAATCGAAAAACCGTATAAAAAAAAAACTCCCTTTCAATGAGTCGGTCCCACTCCTGTCCTCGGTGCGACCCACGTGACATGCGATCTAAACGGCGCACTCCACACGCCACCACGTACCAATGATGACTCTCCATTTATATCCCCCACCCTTACATCAGGTGGCCATTCTTAGATAGCGCCTAAAAAGCTTGTGCAGGACTTGCACTTTCCATCATTTAACTATTATCAATCCTTTTTTTTTCTGCTAAAAACTTCTTTCTCCATACAAAAAATAATTATTTTGAAAGAAGAGATTAATTAAGGGGATAATAGGAAAACAAGTATTTAGGAAAAGAAGTATTCATTCACACACAAAGAGCCAATGAGAAGTGGTCTCCCCCTCGGAGTCGTCTGGGTGATACGGTCCGGTTAAACAACAGCGGTATCGAAATAAAAACTCTGCAGCCCGTGCCACACAGTGCCGTCCTCTAACATTTATTTCCTCCTCTTCTCTGCCTTCTTTCTTACCGAGCATTGGATTCGCTTTGGAGTCTATCTTCCTCGTGTTTCGGATTCCCCGGTCTTCTTCTTCCAAAGCTTCGACTGCACATCTGTAGAGAAAGGAGGCGCTGATTTGTTCCTCTTGCTTAGAGCTTCGATCCATCTGTTAGTATTTTTTATCGTACAACATAGTCCATATTTTATCCAATCCATCCAAAGCTAAAATGTCACCTTCGTGTTATGACGTGTGACTCATGTGATGCCAACAGGACATTCACGGGTTGATGATGTGACATCCACATGGCATGTGGGTCTTCCTAATAAACGCAAGCAAATGTGTCGACTCCCATTCGGAGGTTGTCCCATTTTGTTCACCTCTTTGGCACATTATCACCATGCGTGGAGTATCCATGCATGCACAAGAATCTCAGTGTATATAGATATATACGTTTATGGTCCGTACAATACGCTCTCGTTTCCGCCTCGCCTTATGCTCATCTGGCTATAATTGGGCTTAGGCCGTAATGGGCCTTTGCATGTGAATTTGGCAATCACCACTGAGGATTCCTAACCATTAAAACATGTAACGATAACATGTCCCAGTTTGACTTTTGTTAGGGGTGAGAAGCAGCATCGTCCGAACCGAGAGGAGAGAGGGAGGTTGACGAAGGATCGATGGGCCTGACATTATCCATTTGGCACATGAGAAAATTAATGGCTGAATAAACTAAATGGGGGTTGGGAATGACCTGTTAGAGTTTGACTTTCTATTAGACTAACAAATTGTCCACGCAAAAGAGCATTGACGCATATAATTTGCACATATGGATTAATATAAAAGCAATAACGGGAACGAAACCATTAACGTATTTTGATCTGTTTAGTTTGCTTGTTAGATTGTCGTGTCGATAGCCTCCATCGAGTTGGAAGGTCAATTTTGTGGTCCAAATCTTGATCCAGCATGAAAACCTTTCTTCAATGCATTGTCGATTATCGTATCTATAAGAATGTGTTCCCTAAAATCCTTTTTGATATGAGATATATTGACAGTTAATCATCCAATACATTACTATCCCATTGAGTCTAATGAGAAAGGATAAGATGAAATTTTCTTGTTACATTTATAATAAAAAATATAATTACAAATTATTTACGATCGAGTATAAAAGTTTATATTTAACAAAAAAAAGAATTTTTTTGAATATTTATGTTTATAATCATATACATTGGATTATTAATTTGAGGATTGAAAGGATTAGGTCGAAAACTCTGTCATGATCTTAGTCTTTATGCAAGTAATATATCGAGAGCTTGACATTTATATCTCGGAGATATTTTGGACAATCATATATATATGAATTTAGATTATATCATATTGATCAAGACGTCATTTGTATTTTCTTCATACACTTTCTTAATTTTCTCTCACTCTTCTTATTTTCATTAAGAAAACACGTAAGTTAAAGCAGCAAGTTAATTTTCTAATACACAGTTCTCATTCAATTCTGTCCACTCTGCATCATTATCTTTTTCATTATATATATATATATATATATATATATAGTGAAAGACCTTTTGCAGTAGCAAGCTTCCGAGACAGGGATGACGTTGACTTTGCCAATGGAAACGAGAGGATTGGTTAAGTTATCCTGAAGTAATGGCATGTAAAGCTGTACTAACGACCTAAACTACAAGTATCGTTGACCGAGAAGTCCGTGGGTTTTGGGCATCCATCACGTGCCCCCGTTACTTGCGGCGACGGCCATTTTATAGTTCGTCGTTCGAGACACACACAAGCCTTTAAAGATCTTCAATCCCCCATTTCCAACCTTCTCCACTGTACAACGAAGCAGTGTCTCACCTCATTATATTCCATAAGGTAGCAAGAAATGTAATCAAGATTGTATGATCCATATACACTCTATTCTCTCTCTCTCTCTCTCTCTGAAATCATTTTGAGCTTCGCCGGTTACAGTGGCCAGCACACCAAACAATGTTTTCATTCGTACGTGCAGCCGACAAAGTTCACTTTGATACAAGTCCAAGAAAACACTTGCGGTGCGTCGAAGAACTTAGAACCCTCCCTCGTCGATACAAGTGGCCCCTCTTTCTTGAATCCTCTCGTTTCCCAACTTACTACAATATAGCCATACCTCTCGGAATCGCATGCAGTCCGTCCTCCCACCATCCGCCAGTTCTGAGAGATTGCGCGTTCTCTGCAGAGACTAAGTTTGTAATGTGTATTTAATTGAGATGTCAAAAGGTGATGGAATGGATAACGCCGGCCGGAGGGACACTCCATAAATTTGTCGCAATGAGTCTTCCTTCTCCCGGTGACTTGGTTCTTCCTGTTAATCTCCACATGCACACGCAGACTCACCGGTGATTCCCTTCACGATAACCAAAGACGAAGCGATGAAGAAGCAGCTACAAGACCACAAGTCCTCGAATCATATCAGCTCCCGACTCCCCACTCTGATCTCAGTTAGCTTTCTCATTACCTTCGGCTTCTGCTTTGGTTTAGTGTCCAGCCTCTACGTCAGGGTAAGTTTTCCTTCTGCGCAAACCAAACAGATCTTGTTCCGGTCATCACCTCCTCGTCCTCCGCCTTCGCCACCCACGCTTTCGCCGCCACGAGTAGTTCAAGATCGTTCGTTTGTCGGTAAACAAGGCATCGGACAGAATGGTTATGTTAAGCCAAGAAATTTTATGCATGATATGGAAGACGAGGAGCTGCTATGGAGGGCATCGATGGTTCCGAGGATCCGAAAACTCCCCTTCAAGCATGCGCAAAAGGTTGCCTTCCTGTTCCTCACGAGGGGAAACCTCCCGCTTGCGCCGCTGTGGGAGGAGTTCTTCAAGGGGAACGAGGGGTCGTATTCCATCTACGTGCATACGGATCCTTCCTTCGATTGGTCGGTGCCAAAGAGCTCTGTTTTCTACGGGAGAAGAATCCCCAGTCAGGTCAGTTCTTCGTATATAGCTGATTGCTCAACTCAAATTCTCTTCTTAGCTTTCTTATAACTTGCCGATCAAACCTGAAATCGACAAGTGGTGCAATCGAGAATTCATATAAACCAAACCCCTGAATTGGCTGCGCTTGTGATAATATCGGAAGCATGGATCTCAAACATCTTGTTTTCTTCTGTCTAGATGAGGTTTCACTGAAATCGTGCGAAATAGGCCTTGTAGTTGATCACATAGAACATTTCGATACAGGAATCTACAGTTTCTGAGACAACCGCTAAAAACAGGGGACGACACAGTTTAAACAGTCGCCTTACCGTCTCATATCCCAAGTGTTCTAGCTGAAGCAGCAAGAGAGTTGCCATTAGACTTGGTGATAAGCGTTTGAGTTTGCTTGTTTGTTTGGAGTAATGCAGGTGGTGCGATGGGGAACGATAAGCATGTTGGATGCCGAGCGGCGGCTGTTAGCCAACGCCCTCCTCGACTTCTCAAACCGACGCTTTGTCCTCCTCTCTGAATCTTGCATCCCTCTGTTCAACTTCCCCACCGTGTACTCCTACCTCATCAACTCCACCGAGGTCTTCGTCGAGGTCTACGATGACCCCGGTCCTAATGGCAGGGGCAGGTACAAGAGCACATTGAAACCAGGGATCGAGTTCAAACAGTGGCGCAAAGGATCGCAGTGGTTTGCCGTGGACCGTGGACTCGCCATGGAGATTGTATCTGACGAGAAATACTTTCCATTGTTCCAGAGATATTGCAGGCCTTCGTGCTTGGCGGATGAACATTACTTACCGACTCTGATGAACGTGAGGAGCTTCTGGGGAACGGCAAACAGGAGCTTGACGTGGGCTGATTGGTCCAAGGGAGGGCCACACCCTGCCAGGATCGGAAGAAACGAGATCACGGCCGAGCTGCTGCAGAGGATGAGGAACGGGAGCGCCTGCAGCTACAATGGCAGGACTACCAGGATCTGTTACTTGTTTGGGAGGAAGTTCTTGCCGAATTCATTGAACCGGTTGGTGAGATTGGCTCCGAAACTGATGGACTTCGGTGGAAGCTGACACAGACATCAAACCTGTCTGCAAGTTCCTCCATGGATTGGCTCGAAAACTGATGGACTTCGGTGGAAGCTGACACAGACATCAAACCGGTCTGCAAGTTGCTCCTCGGTCGAGGGGATTCGCAAGTGATCTTTCTTGTAGCACGCGAAATAACGTGAGACACATGTAAAAAAGAGAAAACATGATGCAATGATTTAGAATGGGAAATAAACTTCTTTGTTGTTGAAAATGCTTGGGCATGTTATGATTTTTGATAGTTTGGTTTCTTGCTTGTAGACAAGAGAGTGAAACCTTCGGCATTGGGCTATGAACACTATAGGTCTTTCGTTGCTTGATGGAAGCAGGGGAAAAAAAATGATGATCAAAGAGATTAATGGAAGAAAGAACTAAGAATCATAATTCTGGAGGATAGAATGATCTGTTTGCCAATTGCAGCAGAAACTTATTTCCTCGTAAACAGGCACAGCTTACGATAAAATTAAAATATCTATGCACACCTAAAGCACAACTTCATGCAACTAAGGTGATATTCCGTAACAAAAAAAAAAAAAAATTGAAGTAGGTTTATATTTGAAGGGTCTCATACAACCAAAGCATTCTCTATTTACCCATGACGTAGGTTTATAAGAAAAAGAAAGAATCTAAATCATCTAATTTGACTATAGCATTTCCTATACTAGTATAGGAAAATATATGTTAAACATTTGACATGACTAAAGCATCTGTGTTCAAAAAAATATTCAAAGCATTTACTAATCAAAGCAGCTGTCCAGAATCATGACAACGCCAACATGGAGCTTCGAAGCCAATATAACGGACCATGTCAACATAACGCCCTAAACTCGGACGATACGAACATCCTCAATACAAGGTCGTGCAAGGGGCATCATCAGGTACAATGTTGTCCTGCAATGATCGGGATGGCGCCACTCAGTGCTGATCCGTGCAGGTCAACCGATGTTTGCACATAGGATATGGGTTCGTCACTTAAGGGGTCGACGGTTATTAACGAACCATGTACGATCGACCCCCCGTGTGCAAGTATAAAAACTCACCGCCTGACCAACATTGACAATCTCTTCTTGTCGAACACTCAATTCTCTCTCATTCCACAAAGAGCTAACTTAAGCTCCAGAAGGGGTCGGGTCGAGAAATCCGCCTCCTAACCTCGATTTATGTTGAGGAACTCAGTAACGAAGAAACATACCACTCGTCAAAAGAGAAGACCGTGCTCGGGAGACAAAGCTCGAACCCGACTCGACCTAACGCTCACCCTCACCACCCGAGTATTCACGTGGACATCCTTATACATTCGGGACTGGACCGAACTATGCTAACATCTCAACCGCGTAAATGTTCACTAACAAAAATCATTTAAAGTGTTTAATGTGATAGAAGTTTTAGTCTCTCCATTATGTATCGGCTCAAGAACATCTAAAACATCATTTATAACCAAAGCTTTTCCTATGTAAGTGATGCATTTGGAAAAGAAAGGAAACACATCTAAAGCGCTTTATGCAACCGTATCGCTTCTTGTATAATGCTTCCACAAAGGACGAGAAAGAATTTAGAGGCTTCTTAATTATATTCTAATGCAAACAACAATCGTTGAGACCCCTTTTTTATGATTAACAATTCATCATCACAATGAAGTCAAATGATGTGTTTGTTATTTACAATCAATCAAGATTTGATACGTAGAGTACAATAAGAGACATCAATTTCAATCAAAACAAGATATGATATACAATTACTTTTCATCTAAAACTTGTGATCAATCAAACACATGATACAAACAATTTCAATCAAATAAATTTTAGTATTTGACAATGGCATATTTTGCGGGACACGTTAACGATCAAAATATCTAATATATGATAAAATAAATAAATAAATATCATATTTTGATTATTATTATTGTTTATGATCCATGGTTAATCACCGTTGACAGGCGCTCGATCCATCAGATTCATACCCGAATCATGGCGCACGGTGCTGTGCTCCCTGCTATAAGATTGGTGCACTAGGCAGAGTCCGACGCTAAACCAACCGAATCCCACTCTGCAAGTCGCAAGGGTAATCACCTTCTCTACTCGGTGAAATGCACCCGTTGGATACCAACGTTCACGTGGCTAGCTACGGTAAGCAACCGCGATCTCTTAGGAATGGGGTCCACGGATACGGAATCCTTTGACGACGCATTTCCGAACCGAATGCAAAGCACATCCTGAGGATACCGTCACCATCACCTTCTATTAGAATGCGACGACAATGACTCACTTGCCATTGGACTAGGAAAACAAATATTCCCCAAGTGTCTGGAGTCCCGCCACCGGTAGGTCACCAGAACAGGTCGGTCACCTTCACCAAACGCCGCAGCGCAGTGACCCGAGCCGAGGCGGTTGCGGTGGGTCCGTTGATTTGATTCGAATCCGAATCCAACTCTCCCGGATGTGGATTCCAAAAGCATCCATTAAGCTCCACGGTCGGATGTGAATCCCTCGGTAGCTAATGCGGGTTTGAATCCGTGGAGCAGTAGTGAGAGTACAAAATCCGCGAGAGCCCCGTACAAACTATGAAGCCTCATCAGTAGTGGTAGTTGTCGGTCCAGGGACAGTTCTCATCAGTGACCTTTCTCGTCAGCCTCCCGAATCGGGATCCTGTCATCGGCGTGAGGATGGGGACGAGCGGGGCGGATCACCTCCGCCAGATCGTGGAGGAGACGGACTGGTACAATGGGATCGTGCTCGACGCGGTCGTACCAGGCGGCGCCTGGAAGCGCCTCCCGCGGCCACTCCAGTCCTGGCTGCGCAATTACATCGGTGGCACGGCTCTCTATTTGGTTTCTGGTTTTCTCTGGTGCTTCTACATTTACTACTTGAAGCGCAACGTATACGTCCCCAAGGGTTTCCCACTCTCTGATCTCATCTTTTTTAATTTCTCCCTTCGTTTTTCTGTCAATTTCTTCATGGATTAAGTCGAGGTCGAGTTCATCACCGTCGTTGTTGCTTTTGGTAATGTCTGGTCTGTGATCTTATATAAAAATTCGGTTCTTGGTTGGGTATGTCTTTCTGTCCCCATGTTCTTCCACCGGGCGTTTCATGTTTGTACTGTTAGATGTGATGCCTATGATGCCATACTCTCTCTTTATTCTTCCATCACTGTCTGGACCCATTTCTGCTCGTTGATTGCTCTATTTTCATTTTCTATGAAATCCCGATTTGTGATTTTGTCTTTGTTTTTTTGCCCTTTATCAACAATGCAAATTTCCCCCTGCTTTTTAGCGACTTAGGTAACTCACGGATTCTTCTTTTTTGCTCTTGACGATGAAATGAAGGTTTTTCTTGGATGGGCTTTGGTGTTTTTTGGTAATGCTCATCATATCATTCTGCGTGGGCATGTTGCACAAAGAAATGAGTTGGCTGGTCCCAAGAAACCATTTGCGTACATAATGTACCTCTGAGGGTGCTGTTTTAGTGGCACCTATGTGTTACAACTAGTCTGATCTCACGGATTTCATGTGTTTGAAAGTAACATCAGGCATGAAAATATAAGAGATTTCAGCTCTTGAATTTTTATTCACCTCAGGTGGCTGGAAAGAATGCTAGGCCTGACCATTCTTAAAGCGATTTGGATTAAATGAGATCATGGAAACTTGTGATGTCAGAAGAACTGGTTTTGCTTAATATGCTACATTCTTCAGCCGTATTATATGATAGTGATTGATCCTGGTTTTGCCTTTTGTTCTAAAACTAAAAAGATAAGTAAAAGGAAGTGATGGATACAAGGGCATATTGTCCAAGAAATTTCCAGCGATTATCTGAAAATGGCATCTTATTTTATTTGGTTGGACGACAATGTGGCTACTTCTTTGTTTGGAAAATTTCTTTTTCAAACATGGACATTTTGTCACTTGTGAGGCTGTACTTCAAAACAATGGCCATTAAAGAGAGAGGAAGCAATTTGCAATTCTTTGTCGCATTGCTATATAGTCGTCCGTCAAACATGTCATACAGCATTTTGATATTGGTAATGTTTCCACTAGCTGGAAGCAACTTAAAAGTCTGCAACCCTCCTACATTATCTCTGACTTGTTGGGTCTCTTTAATTTATAAGAATGAGGTCCAAAAGAAGTTTATCTTTGGTGCACATCCAGCATTTTCTCGAGTTTTCTGCCATTGGAATCAATATGTTGACATAATTAACTTGTTATGAAAGAGATTACCAAAAATGTTTGATTACACTGGATGATGCCTTCACCTACTGAGAGGTTTTGAAGCTTGCTGTCCTAGTTTGCATCAGGATATGGTATAGGCTTGTTTGATAAATTTAATGTTTTATTTACCATTTTTTTTTATAAAAAGGCATTGAATCTGCTTTCCATGATAGCTGCAACTTTTTTAATGTGAGTTTTGCAACAATTGATATGTCCATTTCATGCGTTTTGTAATTTATCATCGTAGGTTTAGGTTGATTCACATGTAACAAAGATTGGGTATTGTGCTTTCTTTGTGCGCAATTATAGCTTAGTATTTGCTGTTCTCTCCTGGAGCAACTATATCTAAAACATATTATGTAAAAGTTATGTCTTTGATACATTTATGTTTCTCTGGATGTCAGAAAATGCAAAAGAACAAGCAGATGTAACGAATATCTCATGTTTGTGGTACTTTCTCTTTGCCTTTAGATGTTCATCATTCGCGTTTTAAAATAATTTGTGTTTGACCCTAGTTCAAGCTATGCTAGACAAAATATGAAACTCTTGCTGATCTTTTCTTATGTTAGATCAACTTTTGAATTTGAGTATGGATGTGTACTATATCGGTTTCACAGTTATAGTATTTAATCTTCATGTTGTCATTAAAGTTTACGTGTGTTTTTGTTGCTTGGCAGTGATAGAGGAATGCCTCTGTTGATATGAAGAACTGTGCCGTTTTCTAATCCCCTTCTAATTTTCTTTGCTTGCAGATTCTATACCTTCGAACAGAGCCATTTATCTACAGATAATAGTTGCAATGAAAGCTATGCCCTGGTTCTGTGTTCTCCCAACACTTTTAGAATACATGGCTGAAAATGGATGGACGAGGTGTTTTGCTAGTGTCGGAGAAGTTGGTTGGCCGGCTTATTTTGTGTACCTGACGATATATCTAGTCATCGTCGAGTTTGGTATATACTGGATGCACAGAGAATTGCATGAATTAAAACCTCTATACAAGTATCTTCATGCAACACATCATATCTACAATAAGCAGAATATGCTTTCTCCTTTTGCTGGTGAGTTTCTCTACTGCCTGCTCGCTTTTATTATCGTAGTCAATTTTAACGAGACATGCATCTCTCTTGTCATGGAAGTTCTGCCAAAAGTTCTTTTTGTATTATGTTGCACTGCAGAGGAAAACTAATTATAAACTTGTCAAATATTAATTAAATTATGATAGATGTCCAACTTTAATTTGATTATATTCAGGATAAAAGGAGCATCGATGTTGATTACTTCAATCTGCCTTGTGAATTTACACCTTATTTGTGTATACTTTCTAGATCTTGTTTTGGTGAAAAAATTTAGAAACATTTACAAGGCACCATGATGTAATGCTACAAACTTAATTTAGTTGGATTACATGAATCTTTGGTAATTTATTAATAAACCTATGAGGAATCTTGGAATTATTAATTCTTGCTTATTGGTAACCGACGATTTGACCTCATGCTAACTTTGAAGGTCTTCGATCTTTACCACTTGCAGACTTCACAGTAATGTTCATCACTCTAGTATGAAATTGGTAAAAGTTGATTTGTCTCTCTTTCAGGATTGGCGTTCCATCCATTGGACGGAATACTACAAGCTACGCCACATGTGATAGCCCTCTTCCTTGTCCCAACCCATTTCACGACTCTCATACTTCTCATGTTCTGTGAGGTTGTCTGGACTGCAAACGTCCACGGGTGCATCCATGGCAAGATTTGGCCAGTTATGGGTGCAGGCTACCATACGATCCACCACACGACGTACCGACACAACTACGGGCACTACACGATATGGATGGATTGGATGTTTGGAACTCTTCGAGATCCTGAGCAGGAATTCAAAAAGCCAGATTGATGCAGGTCCAGTGATCGTCTGCTGTTTCGCTCTGGGTACGGATTGAGTCGTCCAGTGAGTGGAGTTGCTGAAGACTTGATGTGTTAACTTAGCATTGTGATGTCCGTCTTCTAATGCTGTTGTTCGATAATTGGGTTGCCTCCCTCCCTAATTTGACACCCAGAGATTGTAGAATTGGTGACTTGATTTTTTTTTAATACAAAAAATCACGAACAGTAGTTGTGGATGCATGAAGACACGAGAGTGCGACAATATTATTTTGTTGGCGCAATCTTAATATTATTTCTTCTTTCTTTTTGCCTACTAGATATAAGTGGTGCAGATCTTTCAGTTTCCTCGTTTCCTTTCTTGATGTCTGACTCCATCTGTGTTGCAATGTTTTGGTTCTCTGTTTATTGCCCTCATCTCTTACTCCGGCGGGCACGAGCGTCTGGCTCACTAATTCCGATGACGATAGAACCGGAAGTACTACCTACATAGAAACCACATGCGTCTCTGCGAGTGCCTCAGCCTTCGCAGCGCTGAGCTCTTGGTTGACTCCCATCTTGCTTGCAGATTAAATGGGTGAGCATCACCAATCATCATCACCTTCTTCTTCTTCTTCACAACACTAACATAACTACCTATAAAGCATATATTTTGACGTTTTTGCATCATCCGACGCCGATGATTCTTCTATTACCGAGTAAAGCCGGAAAGGATTCTGAGAGGATCTGGACAAGTTTCTTATCACATACCAGTTGGTTTGGCAAGTCCCATAGTCCCACATCGAAAAAATCAGATTTGTTATCTCTTATTGGAACTATAAATAAGGGCCTTGGCTTTGGAATCAGATGTACCACAAGAAAACCTAAGTATTTGCTTTGAGTTTAAGTCCACACTTAGTTAAATAGTTTGGGCTTATTGATGAGGTTTTTCTTGTTTAGTATTTTCGGGTGTTTTATGGCCTAGGAACATCCTAAGGCATATGTAATAGTCCATTTTCATAGTAGTGATTTGTTCTTTTTTCGTCCGTGGATGTAGGTCAAAGTTAATTGATCGAACCACGTAAATTTGGTGTTCTTGTTGCTTTTATCTTTTCGCTTTATTGTCTTTGTTGTGTTGCTAAAATTATCTTGTGGTAAATTTTCTGGGACTAGCTCTAACAGGAACTCGATGTTCCCATCAAATGTGATTCTTTTAATTGTGCATTTAGTTAAGAGATAGTTAAGAGTGTTTCTTTTAATTGTGCATTTAGTTAGATCCAAACAGAAGAGCGGATCAGCTCATGTATGCTGGGCCTGTCGATCTCGATAACCATCGAATGAAATGATTCGACCCGTTTAATTTGACTGACGGAATTATGGGTCGAGTATATAGACCCACTAGCAAGTCGGGTCGGATCTAAACACAACTTTAAACGTTTTAGTAGACCATTCCTCTTCGACATCCCCATGGTCGCAGCGACCGACTTCACGGAAGCACCGCCTCGAGGATGGCGGTGGTAGGACAAGTGCGGAGGCCGCGTTAATTGGAAGGTCGATTCGCCGGGACGAGCGCCATCTTTATCTGCGTCGGTCAACTCCTCCCTTGAAGAACAAAGACACGGCGAGGACGTCGTCATGGTTTGCTTCCCCCGGAATCAAGATCAAGAAAGCCAACAACCCTTCCCCATATCTCCGCCACCGAAGTCGCGGCATTCGAGACATCGGGCAAAGGTAATCGAACTGGCCCGTGCTCCTTATTTTATCTATTAATGGCCGCAAAGTGAACCCACTTCTGTCGCTTCTCCACCCATTCCCATGCATTTCTTGCTTTCTTCTTCGCGTATCATTTACCAGTCTTCCATAGATCATATCCGTGGCGGCGAAGTCATTCTTCGACTCGCATGCTTTCACCTTAAGAAATCTTTGATTGGGTATATATTCTCATACTCCTTATTTTTTCCTTTCCCGAGTTGATAGAGTTGTTTAATCTTCGTCCTTTTGAGCTATTCAGCTAATAAAAGAAATATATTATTAATTTTAGATCCCAAGCAATTTATCCCACGAGTGTCTGCGTATCGATGCTATCATTCTCCTCTCTGTCACCTTTGAGATCGGTGAAAAGAGTCTCATCAATGACAGAGAAAAATTCCTCCATAAAATTCAAATAAAACAAACTACTAGCATGACTGTGATACGGAGAGACCACAAGACAAAGTATAGAATGCAACAATTCCTACGCGATTGAAATCAAAAAATACTAAACCCTAACAAATCTTTTACAAACCCTAACGCCCAACACAGTCTCAGAAATCGTTAGTCCGGCCGCAGTAGACCACGGATCAGACGGCGGAACTTGACGGGCCATTGGGATCGGACGCGGAGGATTCGCGGCCGACGCCGACGCCGTTGGCCATCATCTTCTTGAACTCCTCGAAGTTGACGTTGCCATCGCCGTCGGCATCCACGGGCCGGATCATCCGGGAGCAGTCCTTGACGGAGCACTTCTCCCCGAGGCGGTTCATAACCCGATGGAGCTCCTCCGCCGAGATCAGCCCGTTGCCGTCCAGGTCGTACACGTCGAACGCCTCCCTCAACGCTCTCTCGGCGGCGGCGTCGTCGACCCTGCGGCGGTGAAAGTCTGCGAACTCGTGGAGGTCGACGAATCCGTCGCCGTCGGCGTCCATCTCGGCGATCATGTCGCGGACCTCCGCGGGGGGGGCGTCGGCCCCGAGAGCGCGGATGACGCCGGCGAGCTCGGATGCGGAGATCTTGCCATCGCCGTTGGCATCGTAGCGGTCGAAGACCTTCTGCAGTTCGTCCGTGGTGTTCAGCCTGGCGAAGAGCGATGCGGAGGGCGAAGTCGACGATGAGGTCTGGGCGTTCGACATGGTTTCTGTGCGATGCCTACGGAATTGGAATTGGGTTACACCACCATATATTGATGCGCGATAGGAGCCGGGGTTCAGCGGAGTCCTTCGGGGATACGGACGCTTGGCTGACGCGTTGTCGCGTACGTACGTGGCAGGAAAAAGGGTCGAATTGTTCGTGTGCAGACCGACCATGTCCTTCCGAAAAACTTGACCATCCATCTGGGCTTTTAGATGCGTGAGGGCACGATTGTACATCCACACGTCGTCTCTGGAGCCCGATCAGATCAAAGATGATCGCCATGTGGACGGGGCTAGTGATGGAGACATGAACGCCGCACACGATGTTGGGAATGGGGTTCGCTGAGGCTGAGGCTGAGGCGATGCGATGAGGACTTTTGTGTGGGAAGAAGAATCCGCGTCGGTCGGGGTGACGTGCGAGGGAACGCCGAGGTTTCGGGAAATGGTATGCTTGTCGTACACTCGTCGCCCGGAGTTGATTTGGTGGTGGAAGTAAGGAATCCTATTTTGGAAAAGGGAAATGAACCAAACTGCTACATTCTTATTATACGATTTGGGCAATCCACCAAAATAGACAGACACCGTTCGTAATTGATTCCAATTGATTTTTTCAAGTCACATCAATCTTTTTATATAGCAAAAAAAGAAGAAGATAAAAATAGTGATTCGGTCGGTCTTCCCATTTTTACAGAGTCTGAAACATTAAAGCAAAGAAAAGAAACCTTTCCTCTCCAACAGGAGATCGAAAGTCAAACATCAATCTACGGTAGAACTCTTCAGGGCACTCGAAAAATTATGAGAGTCGTCAATCTCCCAAGATTATTATCTCTCTCATTAAGAACTCAATGCAAGTGGCTTACACAGAATCATCAGAAAAGTAGCAGAGGACGTCTTCCTCAAACACTAGCGTTTGGTGTCGTTAGCCTGCTTTCCCATTCGGCATTGACAGTATCTGGTGAATGCGGCGGCCTTTCCCCCAGCAAGGAGCGGTCATCATCCTTGGCCACGGCATCATCAGCTTCCGCACCCTTCTTCCTGTTGCTCCCCTTGCCCTCTATCCCCCTCAGTGCCTCCAGAACCTCTTTCATCGTAGGCCTCATGTCCCTCTCTTCTTGCAAGCACCCGAATGCCACTTCAGCCACCTGTCTGATCATCCAAATTACCTCGCTGTTGGACTGCCGCCAGAGTCTTGGATCGACCAACTGATCCAACTCCTCGTTCTGGATCTTGTTGACGGCCATTTTAGCCAGATTAATCTCATGCCGATGCCTAGTGATGTCGACGGCCGGCTTCGAGGCTATGAGCTCCACCAACACCACCCCAAAGCTGTAGACATCGCTCTTGTCCGTGAGCTGGTAACACTGGTGGTATTCAGGGTCGACGTACCCGGGCGTGCCTTGTGGAACCGTGGAGACATGCGTGACGTTGAGCGGAAAGAGCCTGGATAATCCAAAGTCGGCGACTTTGACACGGAAGCTGCGGTCGAGCAAGATGTTGTTGGTTTTGACATCCCGGTGTACGATCGGGGGCGTGACGGCGTGGAGGTAGCTGAGCGCCTGGGCGGTCTCGATTGCGATGCTCATCCTCACAGGCCACGGGAGCCCTTCTTCGCACGCACGGGGGCCATGGAGGTGGTCCGCCACCGTCCCATTCGGCACAAACTCGAACACGAGGAGGAGCTCGCGGCTGTGGCGGGAGGTGCATCCATATAGGCTGACAAGGTTGTGGTGTCGGAGGGAAGAAAGGATGTGGACTTCAGTCATGAACTGCTCGACACGCCTGAAGTTGTTCTCGTACAATCGCTTGATGGCCACGGTGCGACCATCCCGGAGCTTCCCTGCAGGGAGACATCGAAAGAAGAGTAGTTAGCAGTCGGAGCAAGACTCAGCTTAATCTGGTAGGAAGCTAGCTGGGAGAGTACCTTTGTAGACAGTGCCAAAGCCGCCATCACCAACTTCATTGGAGGCGTTGAAGCCATCGGTGGCCTCGTGTAGCTCCTCGTACTCGAAAACTTGGGTGCCGTAGTGTTCATTGCCCAATTCAGGATCTTTCTTGGAGCTGATTGGCTCAGATGAGGCTCTTCGAGACAGCAGAACCGGAGAGAGCCGGTTTCTCTTCTTGCGACGATAAAGGAAAAGACCGAGGAAGGTTACTATGACCAACAAGCCTCCCACGCCGACCGAAACACCTGCTCATGGCATTGATCATCCCTCAAATAGATTCATGGAACAACAGAGTATAGACGGAAGCTGAGAAAGATACTAATTCTTGCTTTCGCGTCTTTTATGATTTCAGCAAGTGCATGACATTAATTAAGCCAGAAAGAATTGGAGACGAGTCAGGAGATTGGGTGGTTTAGAGGAGTAAGTTTCTCACCAATTATGATCTTCTTGGTGCGAGATCCTGCGAAACAGCAACGACCGAGAACAGAGTCAGTGCAGAGCTTAAAACAAAAACAATTTCTTTTTATCAGACGGCATTCATATATACACAATAAAATATCTTATAGCAAGTCAAAAATAAAGAGCTGCTATAGACATTTTATCCGCGAATAAGTAGCAAAATCAAACAATGCATCGTCGAGAACTACAACTCCCTCTCTCCGCCGCAATCTTCAACCGCGAGCTAAGTCAAGTCGGCATTCCAAGCAGCCATCTAAATTTAATGCCCCCCCCCCCCCAACAAGACTTCTTCTGCCGCCATCACTAACGAGTCTTCCATGCGAGGTTGTGGGATTCATTTAGTTAAAAAAAAATTATGTTTAATATTCATACAAATAAGAATATAGAAAGATGACGTATATGGATAGAATCCCATCAAAAAGGGGTTTTTGGGGAAAAAGATACACAAATTTCTGTCACATAGGAGGTAGAAGATAAGATTGGAAACTTTGTAGTCGGTGGGGGGTAGCGGACTGCAGTGGTTGCGTCCGACAAAGGAGGGGCCGCGTTGGAATATGACCGTCGGCAAATGGAGATAAGGATGCAAATAGTGCATCGCAACTATTTGGTCATGGAACAGAGATGTGTTTTGCAAAGGCTGGCTACCGTAGAAAGTTCTAAGCTCGAGAGGTCGTTCCACTTTACGGGTGAAACACGCCATCTTTTCTCCCTAACTATCTTCGCCTGGTCAACATCATGACCTGTTGTTATACCTTTGACTGCACAAGATAATTAACTTGGCGACGAAATTCAAATGTAGAATTAATTGGAACAATGATTTCATGGCAACGATTAG